CCCCGTGCAGTTATACAATGTGTTTCTGAATAAATTTAATCTGCTTACTATCTCTTCCCCATTCTCATTTCTACCTACCTGGTCCAAATCCCCTCTTCTCAATTCTCAATTCTCAACCATCTTCCTTTGTTCTTCCAACCATTTCTCAGTCCATTTATCAAATAATAAGTGTTTGGAAACAATACACCTACAACAAGGTAGCTTATGTTCTGTGCTCTTCCTAAGAAAGACTCCCACTTCTTTCCCTGAGACTAAATGTTTGTTTTTCAACCCAGGCTACATTTAACATTTGGCTGTTTTATGACAAAAGTGGAAAGCAGAAAGGGAGCATTATATTTGAGAGGTACTCTGCAATTTATGAAAGCATTTTTTTAGCTGCAAAAGAGCAATGTTAGCAGGTCGCATAGGCTGCTGTCACTAATGATATGATATGTACACTTGCCTGTCAGATAATGCAAGGTTATATGCCAACCAATCTGACAAGACACACCAATGTTAGGAGTCAATGCTCCAATTGGTGTGTGCCAAAAAAACAAAAACAAAAACAAAACTTTTAATAAGGCAGAATAAACAATATCTGTTATGGTGCTATGGAAGTGTTTGATCTGAACTTTCTTCTCCTAGCAGAAGTCTTAGAAACTCTCGATTCAAAAATTTATTTAGTGTAAAATGGTTTTGAAAACCAATCTGATTACTCTGTCTTCTATGCTTCTCTTACTAATAATTGAATCATCTAAATGAAATATTCCAAACACAAAGGATAAATATTTCATGATTCCATTTATATGAGGTACCTAGAGTAGTCAAATTCATAGAAACAGAAAGTAGAATGGTAGTTGCCTGGGACTAGGGAAAACGGGGATGGCAAGTTGTTCTTTAATGGGTACAGCTTTTCAGTTTGGGAGCATGAAAAAGTTCTGGAGATGGATGGTGTTGGTGGTAGCACAACAATGGGAATGTACTTAAATGTCATTGAATTGTATCTTTAAAAGTGGTTAAAATAGTAAATTTTATGTTATATATATTTTGCATAATAAAAACATCTTAAAACAAAATTGAATTATGTGTTTTGTTCATTTGGTTTCCATATTGTTTTTCCAGATGTGATGTGAGGTTCGACTAGAATTGTACAAAACCTACTTTCAAGGAGCATGCTTTGGGAAAATGTAACACATAGGTAGAAATGCAGGCAGTGACAGTGTCCCTGTATTTTCACTGTAGGAAAGGTCAAAGAGGATGTTTAGTCTTTTATGTACATTTGCCTTTAGTTTAGTAACCTCTTGTGGTGCCTGGGTGGCTAAGTCAGTTAAGCATCTACCTTCAGCTCAGGTCGCGATCCCAGTGCCCTGGGATCAAGCCCCACGTTGGGCTCCCTGCTCAGTGTGGAGCCTGCCTCCTCCTGCTTGTGCTCTCTCTCCCTCAAACAAACAAACAAAAAATCTTTAAAAAGAAATTTTAGTAACCTCTTACCAGGCCTGAATTTGGCCTCAGAATATCTGAGTCTCAGAGGCCTAAGTCTATAAAACAAATTGAAAAATACAGTATTCCTCCTCTTATTCCTAAGGAATACATCCTTACATTCCTAAGGAATACAAGACCTCCAGGGAATGCCTGAAATTGTGATAATACCAAGCCTTATACATACTATGTTTTTTCCTAAACGTACATACCTATGATAAATTTTAATTTATAAGTTAAGTACAATAGGATATTAAAAGAAATAACTAATAATAAAATAGAAAAACTTTTATGCTATAATAAAAGTTATGTGAATGTGGTGTCTGTCTCCCCCAAAATTTCTTATTGTACTATACACACACTTCTTTTTCTTGTAATGATGTGAAATGATAAAATCCCTACCTGCTGAGATGAAGCGAGGTATATGATGTAGGCATTGTGACATAGCATTAGATAACCCTTGACCTTCAGATGATATGTCAGAAGGAGGATCATCTGCTTTTGTACTGCAGTTGATCATGGGTAACTGAAACCCTGGAAAGCTAAACTACAAATAAGAGGCGACTATTGTAATAATAACCCAACAGCAACACTTACTGAGTACATATCAAACACCAGGTTTCAGTGTCAAATAGGATTGAGGTCAAGGGGAAAGTTTTAAGCAGATTTACAAATATTATGTATCAGCTTACTACCTCCAACTCACTATTTTCTCTTTAAAAAAAAGCCCCACATATCCAATTTATTTCAGAATTAAGAAAACAAACAGAAACACACCTCTGTGCCAGTAACCATGCCAAAGAGTGTGTTAGCCAATAATATTTATGGAACTCATCATGCAGCTAGCTGACAGGCCCACATATTATGAAGTGGAAACTTTAATAAAAAGAGGGTACATACATTTCAATCCAATAGAATTTTCAATGAAAAAAAAAACTTGCAGGTATAGACACTCTTTTATTTAGAAAGTCTATTCCCTTAGAAAGGATCTGGTTCAATTATAATGGTGGGGAAAATAATACATAAAAACAACAGTTCAAAACTGACAGTAAATTCACCTCAAAGCCAAACCATTTCTTTGTTTGGTTAATGTGGCATAAGACAAAGCCTGACTAGCAGGTATAATTAAAATATGAATCACAGGGATAAGTCATGAGTAACCCTGAGAGCACCTATAGGAAAATAAGTCTATTATAACATACTAGACTTTAGAGACTAAAGGATAAAGGGTAGGAGGAAAAATCCTAATTCCATGTAAATGTAATTATGGGCCTGATTGGAAACACTGATAATGGCACTGGTGCATTATTGGCCCAACATCTCTGTAGCCTCTGTAACATAGCATATTTCACTTCATGTATTATAGGTACTCATTCTTGATGTTTTTTTTTATTCTGAAATTTGCTTGAGGTCAGGTACTAGGCTTTGCTTTATTTCTTCATATAAATTATTTCTCTACTCAGATCCTAATAATGTAGACAGTAGGCATAAAACATGCAATTACACACCTGCATAGTTAATGATAACCCATATCTTAGAGTCTAGAATAATTTTGTCCTGACATAAGAATTTTAAAAAAATGAAAATTGACAACCAATATATTAAATGCTACTTATCAAATTTACATTTTTAAAGAATTAATCACAAGATTTTTATTTAATGAAAAACAGAAAAGATTGTTATATTTTATCCTATTTCATATCTCAGCAGTTGGCATTGGATTTAGTTGCTAGGAACAGCAATGTGGCAAAAGTTGAAAGGAAACTATTTGTTTGGCCTGACTTGTTTTTTTGCTTTCAGGCTGTGTGATGAATAGATATGAAATCACCTCAGTTGAAAAACAGCCCCACTGCTGCTTGGGTCACTCCCTTGACTGAAAAATAGCATTATTGCCCCCCATCCCATTTCACCTACCCAAATGAAGACTATTTAACTGACAGACATAGGTTAGACCCTGGAGTTAAAATGACTCTAAGAATGATTAGGGATTCTGCAGTATTTAGAGGTATAATGATACAAACATGAATGGAAGGTTTTTAAGTCCAATTTCCTTGGCTCAGAAGAATTTAAATTAAAGCCATCAAATATATTTTTAACATCATCTTATCTTAGTTCAAGGTTTATGTGCTATTTTTAATGTTCATGTGTACGCTTTTAAAAAAAAATTTTGAAACTAAAGATCTTGACAGACTCTGAAACTTAATTCAGAAAAATGTAAAGCACATTAATGGAATTTTTCCCATGATCTGTAGAAGAGTTTTTTTTTAACAGATGGTTCAAATGGACAAAGCAATGAAAACACAGAAATTAAAAGCAGATCCTTAAGAAAAATAACTGAGTTCTCAGAAATACTATAGATGATGGCAGGACTAGATGTAAGGCAGCACTCTCTTTTACTGTCAAGGTTTGGAGAGAACAGAAATTTTTTAGGTGACTGCCTTTCAGAGAAGGAGTAACTGACTCTTGGTAGGAATTAACTTTTCATTGGGAACTCCAGCCAATTTCAACAATTTGAAAATCCTCATGCTTGTAGGATAAGTCTATCCAGGTGCCAATAAAATATACAGTATTATGCTCTAGGTATCCTTCTAGAAGTAGGAACACCTAAGTCCTAGGTGCGTAGTTAGGGGGGTGGGGATTTCTTAAAATCTTCCCATTTCACAGCTACTTGGAAAAACAACAACATCCCAAGGCCTGTGAAAGCTTTTCATTTTCAGTATAGAAACTCTGACATTCTTGGATCAAGGAATTGAGCGGTGGGAAAGAGGCAGGTAAACTTTTCAACCCGGAATTTATATGCATTCAGTGGAGACGTGAAATAAAAGATCTAAACTAACGCAGGAAAGTAGCATCTTCCAACCAAGCTTCAAGATGATTTCTCAAACTTTAAGGAAAATAACGTTGGTTTCTCTCCGAGACAATTTTTAGGGAGTAGGTGGTGAGGAGGGCGGATAGGCGAGGCACGTTGGGAGTTGAGATCTTTTGGGGGCGTGGAAGACCCCAAAATGTCGCCGAGGGCTAGTCAGATCCAGGTGCTAGGAAAGACACAGAGTCGACGCCCCAGGCGAAGGCAGGATCGCTACTGCGCCGCAGCCTCGCGCAGCCCTGAAGCTTAGTGCGGGCGGGTGGGTGGCGGTGGGAGGGTAACTGGGAGAAGGGGCGGGGTGGCGTAGGGTGGGAGTGCGACGGCAGGAGGAGGGTCTCCCAGCCCAGGCCCAGTTTTCAAGCTTTCTGAGCCTGCGTCCGCCTAGGGGGAGGGCTTCCCCTGCCCGGCCACAGTGGCTCAAAGCACCTAGGACTGTCAAGAGAGTCGGAGAGTGGAGGTGCCGGAAGTGTCTGCGTGCGGTGAGAGAACTTTCCTGCTCCCGCGGCGGCCCGGAGCGTCCACCGCCTCTCGCAGCGACGATGCGCCCTGATGACAACGACCTGAGCGGACTCGCGCCTCGGCCTACCGCCAGAGTCTGCACACTCCTTGCCGCAGAAGAGGACTGAGCCCAGAGGCGTCCGCCCGCCGGGGAGCCCTGTGCTGGCAACGCGGCGCTCGGGGCCCATTTCCTTTGCCCCGTCCTCTGGCGTCTCGGCTGGTTCCCTGCGATCGCGCGTAGTCAGCGCCGGCGCAGTCGCCGGCTGTTCCCGCCCTCATCGCCGCCCCGGCCGCGTCCCCGGTGGCCGCTGGTAGCGTCTGTGCCATGGGGCTGCCTACTCTGGAGTTCAGCGATTCCTACTTGGACAGCCCGGATTTCAGGGAGCGCCTGCAGTGTCACGAGATTGAACTGGAGCGAACCAACAAGTTCATCAAAGAGCTCATTAAGGACGGCTCTCTGCTCATTGGGGCGCTGAGGAGTAAGTGGAGCTGGCAGGGGCGGGTGGAGAGGGCGCAGGGATGCGGCGACTTCTCGCGGGGTGCGGATCTGAGGGGTGGGTGGATGGAGGACTCGGGGCTTCTTTTGTTTGAATGGGTTTGGGACAAAAGCTGAAGAGCTCCCCTGCTGGTGGCCACCAAGTTTGTGCTTAGGTGTTTTTTACTTACATACTTTAATGTCTACAGAAAAGGGGAAGTTATCCACTGGACCCAGGAGTAGATCCTGAGGAAAGTTGTTCAAAGTCATCTTTTTTTTTTTTAAATAAAGCTCCTGAAAAATGTTGGAGACTATTGGTCATTTTTTGTTGGTTGGTTGGTTTGTAATTTTATTGTGCCTAGTTTGAACACTTAAAAAAAAAAGGTCCTTAAGGAGGGATTCAAGAATTTGGCTTAAGGATAAAATGAAGCTAGTTTGTTTAGTGATACTCAAAGAAAATAATTAATTTCTTATATGTAGCAGTGGCTCTTCACTGGGCACAATACATCATTGAATTGGCTTTTTAAAAAATGTACATTTGCAATTTTGCCATTTAGTAGGGTTTTGGAGATGATAGCGGATAGTATGGCACCAGGGGATGTAATCTCTTTACAAGCTTTTTGGTGCATCTTAATTTTTGGTTTGTATTATAAGTCTAATGTTGGTCGAGTCACAGGGGATGAGGGTTCAGTGGTTAAAGGCCAATCAGAATTTCTGATGATTAAGTAAAAGACTATCCTTAGGGATTTTTCCCACTTCCTTTCCCGAACCGATTTTTTTTTACTCCCTCCTGCCTGAATCTGCTGGATCTTCACTTTCAAGTACTAAGACCTAGGAGAGTCTTAGTAAATAAAAGAAACTCGAGTTTCTCTTTAAGAAAATGGAGTGATCTGCCTTCGGCTAGGCGGGTCCTAATCCCAGAGTCCTGGGATCCAGTCTCCCATGGGGCTCCTTGCTCATTTGGGAGCTTGCTTCTCCCTCTGCTCCTACCCCACCCGGATCGTTCTCTGTCTCTGACAAATAAATAAATAAAATCTTAAAAAAAAAAAAAAGAAGGGAAATGGAGTGATTTAACTGATAAGGTTTAACTTGATACCTTTCCCAGATGTATTTCCATCTTATTGGAGGCTTTCTGAAGGTTTTAGCTACTGAAAGGAAGCCCTGGACTCTCTGGCCTCTAATGATGGCTGGGTGAGTGAGGTATTTTCATTGCAGGGAGAGCCTTGGAGCATCTAGAAATCCCCAGGGCAAATGTAATAGAACCATCGTGGAGTGTATCAGTTGGAAGGTCAGTAATAACATAATGGGGATGTGTGTGCCTGAAACTGAGACATGAGCATCTGATCTGTATTTTGAAGCATGTATTAGTAATGGTAAGGATGAAGCTTATCAGAATGTCTTAGAATTAGTGTGCTCCCCAATTTTTTTTTAACCATCCCCAATGCTAAAATATTTACTTATTACTTGTGCTACTTAACTAGGATAAAGTATGTTTTATGCCTGTATTCACATTAATTTCTGAATTTGAGGGTGGTACTGATAACAGTATTTACTGATTTGTGAAAAAATAATTTATCTGCAGTTCTTTTCACTCTGTGCATACACAGATGTGAACTCTCTTTCCTTCTGGTTTGCAATTTCTGGCTGAGGTCTCAGGACTGGCCTCCTTGCATTTTAGCCTCTTCCAAAAGAGTTTCCCCGTCTCAGAATGCTAAATGCCAAGCTGCCTCTTGTGGAGCTGCCAGCCCGTCCACAAGTGACATTTTCTTCTCACTCTGCTGGGGAGGTAATTTTAGTGTTTCAAAAGTTGGAAACATTTTCATAGCTGTGATAAAAGCCCTGCAGTGCATATTATTATACTAGTGAGATTATGTACTTTATTATGATTTTTGAATCTAGTCTTGCAAAAATCAGATGATTCCCATCCAGATAAGTTTGTTCTTGCATATATAAAGTGAAGAAACCTTTAAAGTGTAAGTTCCTTGAACATACGGAACCTGTCTCATTAATTTGGTCTTACGCACTTAAATATACAACATGCTGTCTTTCTAGGATTCTTAGGTTTGTGATGAGAGTTCATGATTTTAATGTTTGATTATTATTTATCTCACTATGGAAGGAAAATGGTTTGTTCCTTATTCAAAGAATTCCTAGCATCCGTTGCCAAATAAATTTTGCAACAGAGGAACTCTTGAAGTCACATGATGGCAATGCTTTTTTCCCACCAAGCCACCTTCTATCCCTTGGGGAGGATACACTGAGGTTAGGCTGCAAGCGGTTAAGTGTGGGTCCTCGAAAGTTGCTTAGTTAGGATAAGAGTGTGCCTAGAGGACTTTGAAGCTGCTTTTATTTTTATCCCAGATCCACCAAGAAGCCCTCCTTTCCCCAGTTCTGTCCCGTGTTCCTTTCTGCCAGGGGAAGACTTCACCTTTCTAACTTTATACCTTTCCATTCTTCTGTACCTACTGTTTCAGTAAGTGTATCCATTATCCAGTTCAGTTTTATTTTTTGCACTTTGTTGTTATTTTCATTAATAATTAATGGTTTCTTAATGTAGCCTTCCAGAAAGGACAATCATCATGCATCTTGTATTATTTCCATCCTAGTTCATAGCTTTTCTGGTGAGAATTTTGGCATGCACTCTTGGCTAATACATGCATGACTATTTCAATAGGAGTCACAGATGCTCTTTGATTTTTACTTCAGGTTGTTAGTATTATGAGAATAAAAGGGAAACCACACTGATGGCAGGCTGGGCATGTTAGGAAAATCTGGTAGATACCACTCAATGTCAATTATAGGAAGTTTTGTCAGTTACAGACTACTAATAGACAAATCAATAAGAAAGAATCATCAGTTAAAGCCCCAACAGGGAAAGATGTACATTGCATTTCCTACAAGAAATCAACTACCCCTGCAACTCATCTAATGAGAAACTGTTATCACTCTGAAGTCTTGCTTTTCTCCAGTGGACTTTTATTCAGAACAACCCCTCAAGTTCTTCTTCCTTCTCCACAAAATAACATTGCTCCTTGTTTTTTGGTCTTAGCTATGGTTTTGCTGTAACTTGCTTGTCCAGGATTGCAATTCCCTTTTATTCCCAAATAAACCCATTTTGCCAATAAAATTTCTGGCAATCTTATTTTTAAGGATATTGGTTTCTTTAGTAGAAGGGTCCTTATCAAGGAAAACCTTGAGTAAAAGATATCAATTTTAAATAATATAAGATACTTAACATTTTTTTAATAAAGATTTTTATTTATTTGACAGAGATCACAAGTAGGCAGAGAGGCAGGCAGAGAGAAAAGAGGAAGCAGGCTCCCCGCTGTGCAGAGGGCCCAGTTTGGGGCTGGATCCCAGGACCCTGAGATCATGACCTGAGCCGAAGGCAGAGGCTTAACCCACTGAGCCACCCAGGTGCCCTGATACTTAACATTTTTAAAATGAATTATTGCACATCCAATCTGAGAAAAATAGATGACAGCTCATTAAGTGGATGGACATAGACCTGAATTTAAATTCTGGTGCTTACAAATGATGTGTGATAATTGGCAAATAACTTACCCTCTGGGTCCTACTTTTCCTATAAAATGAGGGAAGATTTATAAATATAAATTTATAAATTTATAAATTTATAATATAAATATATAAAAATTTATAAATAAATATTTATAAATATTTTATAAATATTTATAAATAAATATTTATAAATATTTTATAAATATTGTAAATATAAATATTTATAAATATTATAAATAAATATTTATAAATAAATATAAAAATTTATAATATAAATTTAAAATATAAATTTATAAATTTATAATCCACTAGGATTATTTGTTTATTTTGTTACATGCTGTATAGACATTTGGTGAGCAATATTTGAGAATATTTGATACTGGAGAATCAGATTTTAGATCATGCTGTGACTCATAGTCCTCCCCCTTTTTCATCAGGTGTTCTATGAACTTTGTTACTTTAACTGGTATCTTAAAATTTGAGTTGTGGAATCATATGCTGTTTTTGCTTATTGGTTTTCTTTTATAAAGAAACCCCTCAAAATGGCTTTCTCATATAATTCTTCCTTTACTTTCTCTTTTCTTTTTTCTTTATACTTTTGAATATTTAAATATAACTTTGTCCTTGCAAAAATAGACTTCTCTGGGTCCCTGGGTGGCTCAGTCAGTTCACCATCTGCATTCGACCCAGGACTTGATCCTGGGCTCCTGGGATCAAAGCCCAGGTGTCTGGCTCCCTGCTCGGTGGGGAGTCTGCATATCCCTATCCCTCCACCCCTACACTTCCTCGTGCTCTCTCCCTCTCTAAAAACTAAAATCTTTAAAAAAAAAAAAAAAAAAAAAGAATAGATTTCCCCTCCTCCCAAAAACAGAAAAGAGAGAAAAGGAGTAGACAGAAATAGGATTGTAGTCATTTAATTGAATTATTGGGTGGGAAGAGCATATCCACATTTTTTTCTTCTACCCTGCTCTTTGGCATCTTGGTTCCTGCCATTTAGGATAATGTTTCTCAAACCTGTGTGTCTAGGCTTCTTCTAGAGGGAAAAAAAAGTTGGTGGTCTCTAATATCGATTCAATTATTTATTATTATTATTATTATGGTAATTAAATATATATAAGCATGAAACTAATTCTTGTGTGTAGTCATACAATCTTTTTTTTTTTTTTAATTTATTTATTTGACAGAGATCACAAGCAGGCAGAGAGGCAGGCAGAGAGAGGAGGGGAGGCAGGCAGAGAGAGGAGGGGAAGCAGGCTCCCTGCTGAGCAGAGAGTCCGATGTGGGGCTTGATCCCAGGACCCTGGGATCATGACCTGAGCGGAAGGCAGAGGCTTTAACCCACTGAGCCACCCAGGCGCCCCTGTAGTCATACAATCTTAAAAGCAAATCAGTTTATGAATTAAATACAAATAATACTGTGAAACCAATAAAAAAACTTGTCAACTACATTCAGTTAATCTAATGGATGACGATGATGTTACTGAA